TCAAGAAACTTTTACTGACAGGCAATCAGTAGCATACACTGAGACTGGAATTAGCTGGCATTACACCAGTAACCAGCTAAAACCAGACCTTCAGAACACTAAAAATGCAAGAGTTCATGCCACATATTTATTATGAGCTCTGGGAGCACATGACAAGCCTGACTCTCTTCCCATTTACACTAATGAATTGCCGGTTTTCAGTTAGCTTGTGTTTGAATGGGGTTGCACAAGTGAGAAAAAAAAATGAAGCCCAGTTGCTTCATAACACCTGTGATAAAAACAGAGGCGAGGTGGCTGCTGTGGTGCAGTGACTGTTCTTGGCTATCTTATGCCCTTAGAAATCTGAGGAGTGAGAGAATGATGAAAGATTTAAGGAAACTGAGCATGAATATGAAGTTTTCATGGCAAAACAAGTTAATGCATATTCACAACATGTCTTGAATGGGGCCAATCAGATTTTACAGAAAGTTCATTAACCTGTGTTCTTGCTTACACTAGCTTATGTACTAAAATGCATTTAAAGACATACGATTGAATGACAATCCAAGACAGTAGATAACTTTGTCAGCTCCCTTACTCGCTTAATGTGAAGTATTTTAAATGTGTTTACTTGCTCCTTTTGGTTTCCTTTATGTGGACTTGAACATTTTCCTCTCCCGCTTGAGTAAAGGCAAGTGACATCTGCAGACACATGCCTGCCTTCAGGGCAAAATGAATAGTGATATTTTCAGACGAAATTATGTTCTTCACCAAAAAAAACAAAAAGGAAAAAAAGAAAAAAACCAAGAAAAATACCCAGTTTTAAATGCTGTTGCATTTTTCAACAAGGTAAAATTCTTATCAGGCAATCTTTTAAAAACTAATTCTTTCGCAAGATGGGAGAAGTTCTCCTTACTGAGCCAATGATTTCAAGATGCTTCAAGCAATAACCTTAACCTACAGGCTTTGAAAATTAATTGCTGAGAAGCCTGAATTTAGAAAGATGTTTTTAAAATAGAAAAAAACCCAAAATAAAACAGTAATGGGATTAGTAAAAAAATTACAGAGCTGTTCAGGGCAGCATGAAAGATCTCCTTTTTTTTTTTATTCTGATCAAAGCTCCCTGTAAGTTCAGCCCAGGTTTTGCAGATTCCTGAGGTGTTGCTGCTGATTTCCTCACCTGGCAAGCAGGGATGGGTGTGCACAGCAATGGGACATTACCTTGGCTCCCAGCCAAGATAGTGGTGGTATAAATGACACCTGTCCGCCAGGGTACTGCCTGTGAGGCACTGCTCTTGGGGCACAGTTGCCACCGAATTGCTTGCAGTGCAGCCAGTGTTATCCTGTGCCATGGCTCACTGCACAGGGGCACAGGAAACCTTACACAAGATCTCTTACAAATCCCTGCTGCCTGCATGCTCTTACACAGAGGGTGCCATCTTTGGAGGGAAATCACCCTGGGTTTTGTCTTCTACTTTCTCCTGGGTCTCAGTCACTGCCTCTCTCTTATTCCTACCCCTGCGAAATACATGGGATCAAGGCAAAAGTCACCCTCTTGGTTCTGCACATCAAGACCATGCAATGAGCAAGAAAGGAGTGAAGCAAAATGTGGGTATTTGGGACATGATGTAGAGCAGAGGCAAATGAAAAGTTTGTGTGTTCTTACTAAACTTAGCTGAAGAGCGAAGAAGAGGGTGCCAGGAGGTACAAAACACAATGTCATGCTGCTTTTGTAATTGCCTAATTGGACAAAATAATTCCCTCCTGCTGGGTGACCCTCTCTTGCATTTCTAGCAAGGAAATGCAATACAGAATGAGGAACTGAGTTTTCTGAATAAACCCATTGTCTTTTATTCGATTACCATTTTATGCTATTACTATTATTGCATAATTATCCACTTGTTCTGAGTACTCATGTTCTTTTTACACATTTCCTGCTCTCACAGTCATCATAGCATGGGACCACCTAGAGCAATCCTTTGTCAAACATTCCTATTCTCTAATGATGCCAGAGAGTGTTTTGCTCTTTGGCAATCAACCTCTCCACTACATTTCTTAGCTCGTAAGGCCTGTTTATTTAGATGCCTCCAGAAAATTGCTCACATGGTGCTATCACCAGAGGATTGGTGACAGGCAGCAGTAAAACACTTTGATCCCAATCACCAGGTGCTCAGGTGTAACTCCTCAGGTGTAACTTGTCTGAATTGGGTAGCTGAGCCATTTCAGTATTGATCAAGTAGTTTGTAGCGGATTATTATAATTAAATACCTTTGAACTACCAAGTTATATGAGGCTCTGGTGCAGTTCAAGTTGTAGAATTCAAATGAAATTTAGCAATATTCTTATTTTTTAGGGATATCATGACATTTATGAGAATGTGCAGAAAAAACATTCTGATTTGTCCTGGTGAGTCTGTTCCACTTGAGAAAAGCACATGGAGGGAAATCATCCAGAACTAAGAACCTGTCCTCACTCCTAATTTAATCTTAACTTCATGTTTTCCTAAGCAAGTCATGGGAACTGCATCTCCCAGTGCAAGGTTAGACCTAGCCTTTCTCCTGACCCAGGGTGATCTGCATTGCTCTGCCAGCGCAACACACGAGGCAGCTCAGCCAAGCATGAGAAGAGCAGTTCCAAGCTGGGTGGCCTGAACCTGTGTCTCAGTATACTGCCACCACCAAAGTTAGAGCATTTCTCCTGTAACCCCACCAGAAGTCACCTCAGCAATTTAGTAAAGTTAAAACAAAAAAAAAGACACCTTTGCAATTGTGTGTCCAGGGCTGTACTCAGTAGTCACTATGAAATTGGGAAGCTTTGTCAGTCCTCTAATTAAAGTCTTTGCCAGCAGCTATTCCTACTCCTCCTCTGTCCAAGATGCACCAGTATAACCAGTGCTTACCTGACCTGCCACCCACTGCCCACCACATCCTGAGCACCCTGCCCAAACTGCTGCAGCAGGTAGGAGAGCTGTCAGCAGCAGCCCAGGAGGAGCTTACAAGGACCTTTGAGAGTGTACCCCTTTGTCACAGCCCTGCCTACAACACCAAGTAAGTGAATTTACTGACTCTTACATTGTTCAGTGCTCTCACTAAAGGGAGTACATGTTGGAGAAATCTTGAAAAAGAAGAGAGTATGTGGTTCTAAACAGTGATGTCAAAAGAGGGGAAAAAAACCCCGGGTTTTTGCTTTAGAGCATGCAGGGACAAAAAGACCCTACACGTTTGGATTGGAATAGGCATGTAAATGTGACGTTTAAATATGTGTACCTACCTTTTCTTCACCAAAAAAAAAAAAAGCTTTCAAACACCAAAGTCAATATACATTAAAATCTAAATAGAATAAAAATGACGTCGAAATGCCAACATCTCTAAAATGTGCCACAGAAAATAAAATGTTGAAAAAGTTGCAGTCCCAGCAACTAAGATCAGAATGGGAGAAATGGTTGCCTTAAATCTTGAAGTTACCAAATAAACAGGTTTTAATAAAAGTAGATGGAAAAGCAGTGAAAGAGGCTTTAAAATATGTAGATTTTAATTACCCACCCTGAAAGCCTTAGTTGATGTCTGTGTTTTTGAGGGACTGGGTTTATATGGAGGAACCTGAGCGCTCAACACCCACGCTGATGGGGTTTTTACTTTGGACTAGCTCTGTTCTGGTCCTGTGAGCTTAATTGCAATTAGCTGTGAGATTGTTTTGTTTCACTCATGAGCAGCTGAGGTTGCATGTCCCCAACTGCTCTGTCATGTGAAACATGGCGGAATATGTGGTGAAGGGCAGCAGAATAATTCCCAAGTAAACTTCTGATCAGAAATAAAACACTAATGTAGGTTACACACTTTGTTAATAATTTCTGAACACAATGTAGACCCCTTATGTGGGCATCATTTCTGTCTGTAACTAAAAGAAGTAAATTAAAAACACGTCATCTGCCTAAAAATGCACAAATATGAAAAGTGCCTAATATATTTGTGTAAGAAAATTCCAATACGGAGGAAGAAAGTACAGGGATGCTTGATTTCTCAATGACTGTTGCAATATTTTGGTATGAAGTTCAGTGCTACTTCATGCTAGTCTAAATCATTGCTATTAACAAATCTAGGAGCTTCAGAAAGGCCACATCTAAAAAAAATTTACATCTTCCACTAATTGCATCATTTTATGAAGTCTCAACAGACTTGAAAAAATTGGCCTTTCATCTGAGTGACAATTTGTGTTGCAGATTTAGAGAGGATATGAAATTTTCCTATATCAAAGTTGAAGAACAGTTCTGACAGCTGCAAATGTTCTCTGAATTAATAATGTGGAGCTGATATAAGACAATATTTAAGAAAAATCCATTTCTTTCTGCAGCATTGAAGCCCCTTACTTATAAAATATTAAACAGGATTAAAATTGGTATGCTGCTTGAATGGGATAAGAAAACTCGAAATCCACATATAAATCCAGAAGTGAAAAGAATCATTAGTTCCAACTTTTATTAGTTATAACTTATAATTTGAGGAAAATCAACTTCCTGCACTTGCTACTAAAATTCAAACCAATATTTTGGCTCTGTCTTAGGAAAGGAAATCCGCTTTCTAGATCCATCACTTAAAGCCCACTGACCAACCCTTATTTGCAGAAGCTTTCTTGACTTCTTTAACTATAGCAAATACCTCTGGAAGATTAAATAAACTTGTTATCTGATATGTAAGCTCTCTGAATACTAATTGACAAATATGAAGCTCTGGTTTGTCCTAAATTTACAGATAAAAATACTTTCCTATGTCTCAGTGATCCCATACATCAGCTCTTAGTTACAAATAGGTTGTATAATGTCAATAAAATACCAGCAGACATGGCCTAGATCTGTGGGGTTTTTGTCTACTAGGGAGAAACACGGGGGTAAAATTTCATCAGGAGACTTAAAAATTTAAGTTTGAGCCCACCTAAGCTTCCCAGGTCAACAGTTTAGCTGTTTTGTTCCCAGTTCCCACCTGCAGAAATGAGAGAAACCTGTGTCTCATCTATGTAAAACTCACCTGTGCACTCAACCTGATGCAGTCCCCCTAAGCAAGCCAGTGCTTTCCAAGCTGCTGAGATGTTGAATGTGCTGGACCAAGAGAGACCTCAGGAGCTGCAGAGAAGAGTGCAGAAACCCTGGCAGCCCGTCTGGTGTTTATCTAGTGGAAGCCGGGATGAGTGCACAGGGGAGAAACAGATGAGGGGATGTCGCAAGCCTTTTCTGTCTGTGTAAGTTGAAAGAACTTCCCGTCAAAGACTCAGGGAAAGTCCCAGTCCTTGTATTTACAGCTGAGGTGAAGCTGTGGTTGCTTTTGCCATGCTGGCACTGACTTGCCCCTTGGCTACTGGCCAGACCTAAGGTTTGGCTGCCTTTCCCTGCTCTTGGAAGCTTAACCCGAGAATTGCAGAAGCCAAGAATGTTGTAGAAACACAACAGCAAATGCTTGCCTGGAAGGTGTCACGGCTCTCCTTTGCCATTTCACCTGTGAGTAGGGAAAATAGGAATGTCACATTGGAATGAATGGAATTTGGCATGGGGATGCTTGAAAGTACCTGATCTCTGAGATTCTCTAGATATTCTTGGTAGCTACAGCTATCCTGTGGAGCCAGAGTCTACGATGGATATGTATTGAGAAATGAGTCTTTAAGGGATAAGCTGCTGTGAGGATGCAAATTTTTTAACGTTACATATCTGTTTGGAATGGGACATAACTCCAAACAGATGATTTGAGCACCAAGAGATCATTGGACTGGATCATAGTCCAGATAAGAGAAAGGGTCTAATACAGTCCCACTAGCACTGATATTTTATAAGTTTGAAAAATTAATTAAAAGGGATTTAAATAATATAGCACTCTAGACTTGCAATAGTGTCTGCCATTAAAGAGGAAAACAAATAAAAAAAAATGTTGTTACACAATCTTGCCTTTGGGAGACTTACTGGAAACTAATTAGGAAAACACACTAAGAAGGAAAAGTCATAGAAAACATAAAACATAGAGGTGATTTCTAAAAACAAAACGAGAGGAGAAGAAGAAGTTTCTTTCAGAAAAACTTTTAACTGCACTAGGACTGAAGAAAGTGTATTTGAGAGCTTGAGCCCTAGAGAAGGCATCAGGTCATGTTTGAGACTTCGGAGAGGAACAGTTTGTATCACTTGTACACTGTGACAAAGTGTGATGCCTGAACAACTGGAAAAGATCCAGGAACTGAAAAAGGTGATATCATTTTGGAAGAGGTTGGAAGTTTCAGCAAGGCACACACGGCATATGCAGAGCATATGACCTGGCTCAGAATGTCTTACAGGAGCAAAGGACACTGAGGCAGTGGATCTGTCTGGGGATAAATAGTGTAGTATTGATTTTCAGGTGACCCATATACTAAGATGCTGCCAAAAGTTGCGTTATTACACTTAAATTAAAGGGAATGGAAAGGAAAGTTGAGTCACAGAGTTTAAAATCACTAGGCTAAGTCTACAGAAGATATATGAGAAATAAATGTACAAATTCATAATAGATGGTAAAAAAGGGAAAGCACAATGCAATTCAGTGCATCAAGGTGATGTAAGCATTTAGATCCTGTGTAAGAACACAAGCAAAAAAAGCTGAAAATAATTTGAAGTCATTTTGTAGTGGATCAATACCTTATGAATACTAAAAAATTCAGGAAAGCATTGAATTGTCCAACAATTCCCACACCTGTGTGATCCCTTCACATTGAAAGGCCATGCTTTAAAGAGGAGCAGGATATGCGCATCGCTCTGGAATGACTGGAAGAATAGACAGAATAATTCTTGCAGTTATAGAAAAGATGACTGAAACTCCGTGCTTGTCCATTGATAGACCTGAAGAAACAGAACAGGTCCGTTACACTACCCAGGGGAGATAGGGTCAGTGAAAAATACCTCTGTCCCTCATACATCATGGGGCTCCTGGCAGGTGTTCATAGTAGCAAAAATAAAAGGGTGGGGGTTTTTTGAACTTTCTGAAAGCTTTGTGAGCTGCACTGTTTTCTCAGATGTCTAGTTAGGCTGCATTTGGCACCCAAGGAAAAATGTGATAAATTTTTCATGCCTTTCAAGTTAGTAAGATTTATACAGATGACATTTAGATTTGATGAAAAATACTGGCTGAGAGCAGCCACAGAAAGAAAGTGTCCTTCTGGGCTGAAGCTGGACAAACAACACTGTAAGTACTATGTAACACAAATAATAACATACGTGAAAAAAAATTGGCCCAAACCGAAGTGAATCACCAGAAAATATTCATCAGTATGTGTTCTCCAACAGTATTTGGATGTTGTATTTTGAAGAGAAATATGTACCTAACGTAGCTTCTGGAGAGTGCTGTCATAATCATCTTGCATGTAATTATTGAAAAAATTGAGAAAGAAGGAATTAATTAGACATTTCAGACCTTAAAGTAAATCATCCATGGAGGATTTCAGAGCATATGTTGATGTAGTCCTTCTAAGCAGTGTGGAAAAAAAAAATAGATTGCAGTAGTTTATGAGTTAACAAAAACTTAGATATACTCACAGGGGAAAAAAAAGAAGATTTAATCTCAGTAGTGGAAATAAACAAAACCATACATTTTTATTTACTGAAGGCCAGTGCTATTTGAAACTGATTGTAAATCATAAGGAATTACCAAACAGAGCCTGGCCAATGTTATTTTTCATTATTTTTCAGTTATGGAGTATGACTTGCAGCTTCAATATATCCTTGAAATTGTAAGCTGGATTTTTAGAGAATTTGACAATGGAACCAAGTCCAGAGAGATATTTGTTCGTCAGTCTTATTACAACAATAGTTACTGAGGCTGAGATGCTTCAGAAAAAAATTCATACCATAAATGCAAGATTAAATTTATCCTGGAAACATGAGAGTGGTGAACTCGAAAACGCTACTGGGGAAGATCTTCCAAACCATATGTGCCAATAATTTCAAGATTCAAATGGGTAAGGAAAAGGCCAGGGACCTCTTGTACATGAGTCTCAGCTTGGCAACTGTGTGTAGAAGGAGAATAAGGTATATCCTATGTAATGTGGTCATGGTGATCATAGAATCATAGAATCAACTGGGTTGGAAAAGACCACCAAAATCATCAAGTCCAACCCTTGATCCAACACTGCTGTGGTTACTAGACCATGGCGCCAAGTGCCACGTCCAGTCTCTTCTTAAAAACCTCCAGGGACGGTGAATCCACCACCTCCCTGGGCAGCCCATTCCAATGTCTAATTACTCTCTGTAAAAAATTTCTCCCTAATATCCAACCTAAACTTCCTCTGGTGTAGCTTAAGATCTTGCCCTCTTGTCCTACTGCTGGTTGCCTGGGAGAAGAAACCGATGCCCAGCTGGCTACAACCTCCTTTCAGGTTGTAGAGAGTGATGAGGTCTCCCCTCAGTCTCCTCTTCTCCAGGTTGAACAATCCCAGTTCCCTCAGCCTCTCCTCATTGGACTTGTGTTCGAGTCCCTTCACCAGCCTTGTTGCTCTTCTCTGGACCTGCTCCAGCACCTCAATATCCTTCCTGAACTGAGGGGCCCAGAACTGGACACAGTACTCCAGGTGTGGCCTCACCAGTGCTGAGTACAGGGGAAGAATCACTTCCCTGGTCCTGCTGCCACACTGTTCCTGATACAGGCCAGGATGCCATTGGCCTTCTTGGCCACCTGGGCACACTGCTGGCTCATGTTCAGCTTCCTTTCAATCCAAACCCCCAGGTCCCTTTCTGCCTGGCTGCTCTCCAGCCACTCTGTGCTCAGCCTGTAGCGCTGCATGGGGTGGTTGTGACCATAGTGCAGGACCCAGCACTTGGCCTTGTGATGGCTGTACCTAGTCAAAGTGTTTACAGAAAAAAAGGGAAAACCCTGGATCATGAGAGGATGTGATTATTAATGTTTTCTGAGTGTTTGTGATCCAAGCCATTATTCTTCTTTTTCTGAGGCAGTTTTACTATCTATTACTATCGGCCTCTGACAAGAAGACTTCAGAAAACTGTAGTGTGTGTCAAGGTTTTCTCCTGCTCAGTCCAAAAAGCATGGAAAAAGGAATTAAAATACCATGTAGACATACAGAGACAGGGGAATTGCACCCATGTAGATGTCATGTGGGGTTCTGCAAGCTGCTGGTGCTTCACAGACTGTGCAATGCTGTGGCAGAAACACCAGCTCCAGCACAGAATGAACCCTGGGCCCAGGAACATAGGGCTGCTTCTGGCAGGGTTGCACAGGTGATGGGCTGGAGGGTCCTCCTGGCCTTGGAGGATGAAGGTTAGGTCTGCTGGTCTGCACACACAGCTGGTTCCAGACCTCTCTCCTCCAGGGCCTGGAGACACTCTCTCTAGAGCAGGCAGTCTGATGTGGGGAGTGCCAATGTGCTCTTTCCTCCATGAGCACCAAGGGCTTTGCTGTGATCACCCTCTACTGATCCCTGCAGTAATCTGCCTTTGGGAGACTTTTCTGGGCTGCTGGTCTTCTCCCAGGACCTTGTCCAGATCTGGGATGGGGAAGCAAACAGGATCCCTGAAGCCACAAAGAGGCAGGAGCTCCTTGGCACCCCTCCTGCACAGCCTCCAGCTGCATATGCAGGTGGCAGCTCCCTGCAGTCCCTCCTCTGACTCCCCCAGTACTTCTCACAGCTTCCAAATCCTCTCCTTCTCCCAGCTCTCAGTTTTTGCCTCACCCATAAATCACAAGACCTGTAAATCACAAGACCTGCTTGCTGATGTTCTCTTTACTCTGGCCACTCTGTCTGTCACTGCCACCAGAAAGGCAGAGTGCAAGAGGGGGGATGCTGAAACCTCTGGGCTTGCCTACCACTCCTAGATGGCCAACAACCCTGACAACCCCCAGCAGCCTGCTGTGAGGGGAGTGCTCTTCTTTGTGTCCATCTTTGGGGTCCTTGTCATACATTTTTGAGCTCTCATCTCTCACATGTCACCTTCCTTTTTTGTTTATTTCATTTGTTGTCTCATATCATACTTGCCTGTGCTCCTTTTTTTAGGGAAAAAAAAAAGAGCAATGATGTTACAAAGCTCCATGTTGTTTGTAGGAGGTTGTTTCCCCAGGCTCATAGTTACTGTGGAAGAAGAGATGACAACCTTCTAAAAAAACCCAGAAGGGAAAGAGAAGAGGCACAAAGCCTGTCACTTTGTGCTGCAAAATCTCCATCAGACAGCAAACTCACACTGAAGCCGGGGAGACCCAGGACACACAGCTAGGCTGTCTACCCATGAGAGAAGCAGTCCTCGTGCCCTAGGGGAGCCAGCATGCCCACAGGGACAGCACAGGACACCTCAAAGGCTGATAGAAATTTACTGATAAATACAGCCTCAAGGCTACTG